GCCGTGGGGGTAACTGCGCGCCGAGGTGCTCAGGGACAAGCCGCGCTGGAGGACTGTGCATCCCTGAGGTGGCCAAAGCGCCTGTTTCCGGACAGGGTCCCCAAGGCTGGCCCAGCTGAGGAGGGGCCCTGGAAACACCACTTGGGCCCTTTGGCGCCTGCAGAGCTTTTCTGTTGTTAATTCGTTCCCTGACTGTAAAAGTCGTTGCTGGAAAAGCTACGTGGGACCAGGGTGGGATTTGCGTTCCAGAGGATACGGGAGCACATGGGGCTGTTCGGGGTGCCCTCGGACGCCGGCAGCACCAGTGACGTTCCGTCCCGGCAGTGACTTCTGCCTGTCACCTTGGTTCTGTGCCAAGTGAACTTCCACGCTGAGATCATTAGTAGCCCTTATTGCTCTTGGGGAATTGGAGCCATGTGAGGTAAAGGTCTTTAATCGAAGTTCCCGCTGTTCCCATGCTGGCGTTCAAGTGTTCCCGGAGGTGAAAAATTACAAAGCTAAAGAAAAAAAAAATAAAAAAATCTGTTTGGAAAGCTGGAATTGGGAGCCAGGGCTCGCCTGCTTCCGCACAACTGTGCGTCTGCCACAGCGTGTGTGCCACCGTACCGCAGCGCTGTAACGGCACTGCTGTCCTGGGCTTTGCCGCGGCTCTTCGCAGTCACCTGCGCTTCATGCTCACGAGCTTTCCTTCCGCTTGTCGAGCGGTTCTGTGCGCACAGCCGGCAGCGCTGCCTGTGCCGTGGGACCAGCGGCACGGGGGGGACGAGATGGTCACCAGGTGTCAGTGGGGAGGTTTCAGAGCTTTTTCTCAAGAATTGGTAGTTTGGCTTAAAAATTCTCAGGTGCTGAAGGTCGTATTTGGGAAGTTCACTGGCAGGGTCAGGTTGTGGAGCTTCCCTCGTGTACGGCTGAGCCGCGTGAGCGAGGTGAGACCGTCTGCCTGAAGTGCAGTAAGAGCTTGTGCATCCTCCCTGCGCTGTGTGTTGCTGCCAAAGAGCGGGTACAGTGGGGTGACAGGAGGATTCAACCTGAAATCCAGTGACCGAATGTCTTAGGCCACGAATTGGTTGCTCTTGAGTTGCTGCTTGTTATATTTTAAGATATTCATGGGTGGCTTTTTATGCCAGAGAGGTGGTTTTTCCAGCCAGGCTTTGAGGAACACCAAGGTGTACGTGTGCACACTGGAACCAGGCTGTCCGAGCCCCTCTCTGAACAAGCGAGCCTGGTGTCCTCCTGTGAATCTTTTCCGTCCTGATGAGCAAGACTTACAGCACGCTAGTAAGCAGACAGTAAACGATTGCGCTCGTGAATGCCTTAGTTCAGTGCCAGCAGCAGTTGGGAAACCTCTTCCCTATAGGAACGTGGAAGATCTGATGTCTCTGACGCTCAGATATTAAATTCCTGTTTTTCAGCCCAGCAGAAAACAGCTTTTGGGGCTGGCTGAGAGGGCGTCGCAGGGAGGCAGCTGATAAGGAGGTGCACGCAGGGCTGTGCTTATCCCTGTGTTGCCGATTCCGCTAAATCTGCATCCGTCGGACAAAATCCATAGCTTGTGTTATCCTGAGAACTCGGTAGCGCTCCGGGCTGCACGCGTCGCTATCGAACCACTAACGGTGGGGCTGGCGCACCGCGGGGATCTCAACGCGGTTTAGCGTTTCACTTGGTGCACCCGCGTGGGATAAATGCTGAGTGTCGCGTGGCTTTGGCTCTGCCTGCCTGTTCAAAATCTGCCTTGGGTGAACGGACGGACTCTCGGCGCTCTTGAGATTTCCAGTTATTTCGGGTTGTTCCTAGTGGGTGACGTGAAACAAATACTGAGGTTGGGGCTGTGGGAAAGGTGAGATCAGATCCTCAGCTCTTGTGCCCTTGCCCGGTGCTGTGCGTAAGCAGATGCTGGCTGCCGTTGTTTGTGATGGCCAAAATACTGCGGAGCCGCTCAACACGAGCTGTAGGCCGATTTGTGGCTTGGAACTGAAATCAGCAGCTGCTTATTCTCCATCCTCAAGACATGCTCCTTACCTCCTTCCCAGATTTAGAGCGTAAGGAGATTACAACCGGCTCGCAGCAGGGCGGTTGGTACGTGTGCCTGGAGATCCTCCTGTCCCCCTGCTTCTGGACTGCGAGAAACAGGCAGTCACGGGTTTTGTATTCTGGGTAACCGTGGCCATTGCGTTTTCCTAGAGGGAGGTAATTCTCTCGACCATCCCGGTGATGGGGATCACAGGTTTGTGGTGGCTTTGGGGCATTAGCCCTGCCGAAAACCGGGGAGTGGTGTGACTTTCTTCCAAAGGCCACGGTACCGTGTCTGAGGAGAGAATTAGACTTTAGTCATAGATTTCTCCCAGTCATCACTCAGAGGGGGTTGGGATTTTTGAGTGGCTCCTGAGCTATAGAGGAGACAGAGGGTAGAATGTATTGTTCTTAATTCCTTATTTTTTTAAACGAAGTTGTTCTAAGAGCTCTAGTTGGTCGCACGCGGCGGATCCTGTGCTGGTATCACCAGCCGGAGGAGGCTGCAGCAGCGTGTGTCGGTGCTCGAGGCTCAGTAGAGCGTATCTTCAGGTACCTCAGTCATCCTCGTGGTTCTTGTCTAACCCCTCTGCTCGGGTAAAGGGAGACTTAAGGGCAGAGGCTCTTCAGCCTAGCTGACGGGGATAGAAAGGGACCCAAAAACTGGCTGTTAAAATGAGACAAACCCAAACTAGAAATACAGCGAACACTTAATGGCGGGAGCTGGTGCTTCTCTCACTTGGATTCACCATGGCTGTTCATTTTTAGAACCAACACTAGATTTCTGTGGTAAGAGAGCATGCAGATCAAGAAGGGGTTAGCTGGAAGGTCCAGCTTGGGGTGGCTGCTCTGCCAAGTCGTGTCAGACAGTCATCAGATCACTCCTGAATGTCCTGTCTGTCATGTCCCATCCCCCCCCCCAATACAGTTATTTCAGGAGCTTTAAGCTCTGGGGAATCTGGTGAAGCTCAGTCCCTGTAATTGAGGGAAAATTGTGTCCGGTGCCGTGGATTCTTGCACCTGCGAGGATAGCTTCTGTGGTGGTCGCTGATGGCTCTGGAGGACAGCTAGGTAGGAAGCCCTCTTCTCTGTGAAACGCCAGTGGAATTTCCTTGGGGTTTGGGGCTGAGAAGGCTTTAGCTCATTTGCTGGAAGAATTTGTAGATTTGGGAAGATGCTGGAGGAAGGAGGCTGAGAAGAGTTCCCTAAGCATGGGACAGATCAGTGTGGATGCAGCGACTGCTGGCGCAGCACAGAGGAGTGACCAGAAGCCGTTGCATTGGGGCGGGGGGAGGGGAAATGATGTGTTTTGAAGGTGTCTTGTAAAATGCCCCCACCCAGCGAGGACTGGGGGAGAGCCTGGGGGGAGCAGGGATCTCCCGAGGGGGTGGCAGCAGGAGTCCCTGGGTGACTTCCCAGAGCTTGCAGGGGGATTGACCTAGGCCGGAGCTGAGCTGGGCCAACAAGCACTTGGGGTTTCTCAGCTTCTCCTGCTTGCAGTGACTTGAAACACTTCTAAAATTTCTTTTTTACTGTTTATCAGAGCAGTTGTTCTAACTACAAATTGTACAGCTGACTTTTTGAAGGGAAAGCAGTGACTGAACTGATTCATCTGGACGTGGATGCTTTAGGAACAGAAGAGCTTGGGGAGTTTGGCCAATACGAGCGCACTTCTCAGAGCTGGTGTCAGATCGTCACCACCTACACGTAGTTTGCTACACGAGCCAGGGAGCTGGAACAGGGATTTTCTTAAGTCTATATTTTGTGTCTGTCTAAGTACCGAAGTGCTTCTCGAAGGCCTCAGGGACCAAATCTCTCGCAGGCGTTGCTCTAGGGTGAAGTACAGCAGATGTGTAACAGCACGCAGACAGATTGCTGCCACGCGTGTGTCTCCCTGCCTCCTCACCCCAGTGTATAATTAGGTGCCGTGGAGGAAATGAGACGACTGTGCGTGTCCTCACCCAAGCCCGGGTGCAGTCGGAGGTGCTGGCTGCAAGATGCCTGTTTGGGGAACAGCCCCGAGGGATCTGCTCTGTGTGCCAGCAGTGGTGACACGGCACCGTGAGCGAGGGCAGGCAAGGCTGGCTGCCGTGCCGTCCCCAGAGAGCCCTGGGGTAAAGGTTGAAACCGAGCCCACGGCTCCGTACCCGCTGATCGGAGGCCGGAGTGAGGTGGAGCCTGTTCCTGTGTACATATCTGCGGTGTGCGCAGGAAAGCGCGATAACAGTGTCCTTGCTGTGACTTCTTTTCCATCTCTCTTCTTACGGCTCCACGCCTGCTTGCTGGTACGCATCTGGTGCGGGTCATTCGGGGCTGGCCAACTGTGCACTTTGCTACCCGTAATGCTTGGGAGAAACTTCCAGCTGTGTCAGCAAAGCAAGTCCTAAATTTTTCTTTTTCCATGATTCTCTCTGAACACTTTTTTGGCGATGGTTTGTTGCCAGTGTGCAGACGCCATCCCCTGTCCTGCAGACTGGTGGGATTTTGGCCTCTCTTCTCTGTCCCATTTCTGATGTGCGCTGGGATCGCTCCTCTGTGCCAGAGACGCGCGTTTGGGTTGTGAACGTGGGACTTAAACCAGTTCCTCTGGTACATGCAGTGCGGGGTGCTGGGCAGAGCTTTGGCTGCAGTAAAATCTGAGAGTGGCTGATTTCTTTAGTGTTTTATTTTTTTTTCTTTCCCCCTAGGTTGATCTTTCACACTTGTCCCCAGAGGAGAGATGGAGGTGAGTCCGTGTTGTGAGGTGAACCAACGCTTACAGCTTGAGCAAGCTCCTGCTCCTGACCTGCACCACGGCCCGTGTTCACGGCGGGAGAGGACAGGGTCGGCCTTCCCTGCGCAGCGTTAGTTGTTAGGGGGAAGGAGGAACTGTCTTCAAAGGCAATATTAATGTTTTTTCTTTTAAACTACTTACTAGTTATCCCTCCTTTTCCCTTAGCCAAAGCAATTTCAGCCAGCCACTTGTTGAAAAGCATGCTAAGACTGGGCTTCTCTCAATATTAATTTATAGAGGATGGCTTAAAATCAGAGAATTTGGCATATTTGTTGGGTTTGGATTTTTTTCCCCCCCTAACTTGAACTGTCTTACCAGCTTAAGACGGAGCTGTAACAATGTTCTGGGTTGTAATTCTGCCTCGGTTCTTGGTCAAACAGCACAAGCTGCAAAGAAACCCCAGATGTCTGCAGAGCATCAGTCAAGAAATCACTTGTTCCAGGATGCAAAGGGGGCTGCCCAGGGCAGAGAGAAGCGATTTGCTGAGGCTTGTGGGTTTTTCTGGCTTTAGACAGTGTCCCCCCTGCCCATCCAACCTTTCCTGTGCTGGGTGAGGGGGGGAATGGTGCTGGTGGCTCTGAAAAGGGGCTGAGGGTTTGGTATTGAGGGTTAGTGCACACTCATGGTGCCAAACAGCCGCTCAGCTGATGCTGTTGCACCGCTGAAGTGCTGGGTGAGTTACGTGAAACATGCACTCCACGATCGTTTGTTCAAGTACGTCAGCGTGAGTTATCTCTGCCTCGTTCACGCCGGGATGGGCTGGATGGCAGTCTGGGCTTCCACACTTTAAAACCGAGCTGATCTCAGAGAAGCCTTTTGTCCTTTCTCCTCCGGATTGCGACACAGCATCCATCTCCATGATGCTCCTTTGTGGTGTGTCTCGGTCTGGTTTTCGTGGCTCCCCTGTGCTGAGGTGTTTGCCAGCCCTGCCGTGCTGTTAGCGTGCGGTCTGTGCCCGCACGCTCTTCAGCCGCCTTTTCCCCGTTGTTGCAGGGTGGAGCACGCACGGATGCATGCCAAGCACCGTGGTCACGAGGCTATGCATGCCGAAATGGTCCTCATCCTTATCGCCACGCTTGTGGTGGCACAGCTCCTGCTGGTTCAGTGGAAACAGAGGCACCCTCGCTCCTACAACGTAAGTGTCTCCCACGTGGCTGGATGTGAGTGCTGAGTGATGCCGTCCTTTAGCTGATGAGAAGTATGTTCCTGTTTTTCTCCTCTTGTCTGGTGTCGAGATACCCTTGTCTTTCCAGCAGCGTGTGGGGATTCTACCTGGGGATGGGGATGGATGTGCCTGGAGGCCTCGAGTTTCTGTTATAAGTGATGCCAATAACTCAGTTTTACATAGTGCTTTGACACCAGGTGATGGGACAAGCAGAGCTCGGGACTTGTCCTGAGGGCAACGCAAAGGGAAGCCATGTTTTGTGGCGCTTCCTCAGAAGTGATGGGGGCTTCTTGCTGCTGGGACCCTGGGTTTGGCGGTTCCTGCAGCACCGCTGGGCTCTGCTGAGCAGACCTGATGTTGATCCCACTGGCTTGTCAGGGACTGTTATTTTACCTGAACCAACCTCACTCTGACTTCCTCATCATAATTAATGTTTCCAGGCAATACCTGTAATCCTCTATGACCTTTAAACTGAACCTGTTTGCCTGTTCGCCTCTGGCAGCACCACGGGAGCTCAGCTGCATGGCTGTAGATCCCTTTTGGGAACAGGCTGTAGGGCAGAGGCGAGTCTGAAACCTTCTGCCGTGCCCATCTCCCTGTTTGATAGAATCCCAGACTGGTTTGGGTGGGCAGGGACCTCCCAGCCCATCCAGTGCCACCCCTGCCATGGGCAGGGACACCCTCCACTAGCCCAGCTTGCCCAAAGCCCCATCCAACCTGGCCTTGAACACTGCCAGGGAGCCAGGGGCAGCCACAGCTTCTCTGGGAACCTGTTCCACTTGCCTGAGGTGTCTGTGGTGGCAGGGGTTGGGACCACGTTGGTTTATATGGACTTTTTACAAAAACTAGTTAGGTGAATCATCTCCTGTACCTTCCTCTGGAGAGGTTTCCTCTGCGTTCTCCCTCCAGCTCTAGTCCTTTGCTACCAAAGATCACCTGGCTGCTGCCTCTGACTCCCTCAGTCAGGCTCTGAGCCTGTTCTCTGGGTGCCACAGACCAAACCTTCCGAGTTTTCTGCTGCTATGCAGGGCCCTTTGTTGCAGGCGGGAGAACGGCTGCCAGGACTGGCAGGGTGTTTCTGATGTCTGATGAGCAGAGAACCAGCTCAAAATGCCTTTCCTCTGTTCCTGCAGATGGTGACCCTCTTCCAGATGTGGGTAGTGCCTCTGTATTTCACAATCAAGCTGTACTGGTGGCGGTTCCTGGTAATCTGGGTGCTCTTCTCAGCGGTCACAGCTTTTGTCACCTTCAGGGCAACTCGAAAACCTCTGGTACAGACAACGCCCAGGTTAGTACACGTGTTCCTGGGAAAACTCCTGAGCCCCGGGGTAACTGTTACAAGGAGCTCTTTCCAGTTTCGCTGCCACAGATCATTGTCTTAAACTCTGCACCCTGGGGACGTGCAACCTCTGCACGCGCTGCCGGTGTCCATTGGTGTGAAGCGCTACCCGGCTGCTGGCAGCCAGCCCGATGCACATGGTACCGGGCTGGTAGCGTCACCAAGGACTCTCCTGGCATGAAGCGTGCTTGCTTACGGCATTTGGAGATCCTGAGGTCTCTAGTTTGGAAGTCAAGACCGTGAGCAGCCCATGGCAGCGGTGGATCTGTAGCTTGAATTAGAAATTTAAAGCTCTGTTGCCTGGGTGGGTGGGTGAACTGTCTACCACCACCACCATCCAGGTTTGAAAAGTAAAACTCTTCGGGTGCTTGGTGCAGTTTCATTCCGGAAAAATGAAGTGGTTAAATTCTTGTTTTAATTCTTTACAGGCTGGTTTACAAATGGTTTCTACTAATATACAAGATCAGCTACGCCACTGGAATTGTAGGGTACATGGCTGTGATGTTTACACTTTTTGGTCTTAACTTATTATTCAGGTGAGTGAATCTTTCGGGTCCCTCTCCTGGGGAGGGGATGTAACACACTGTGTGAAATAAGGCCTTGGCGATGACTCTGGAAATGCAGTTGTCTTGGCAATCTGATTAATGGGGCCAAAGAGACTTTTGGGGTGTCCTCTTCCTGCGAGGAGGATCGCGGGTGAGATGCTGGGACCTGAACTGGTCAAGGTTGCTGGAGAAGCCCTTCTTCCAGCTCAGCTGTGTCGGCATCTCCTCCAGCTCTGACGGGCAGCAGTGGGGTTTTCTTTGCTACCCTGATAAAGAGGTGCCTGCAACAAGCAGCCAGCCTGGTGTGCTAGCAGAGGACCTGAGCCCAAGTATCTGCCTGTTTAGAGAGGTTGATTCCTTCTCTGGAGGATGAGTAGACCTGGCAACTGCCTGCAGAGATGTGGAAGCGTTAACTGGAGGCTTGCTGGGAGCTGATCTGGTGCATGAGAGAGTTGGGGAGATTACTGCGGTGGCTCGTTCCAGAGGCTGGGCTGTGTCAGCATGCTGGCTTTGCACCTCCGCAGCCCCCCAGAAAAACCCCTCTTGATGTCTTTTGTAGAATCAAACCAGAAGATGCGATGGACTTTGGCATCTCCCTCCTCTTCTATGGTCTTTACTATGGGGTGCTGGAGCGGGACTTTGCCGAGATGTGTGCGGATTACATGGCCTCGACGATCGGGGTGAGTTAACGCCGCGCCGTCCCCCAGGCGAGTGTCCTACCCCGTCATGGCGGGGCTGAAGCGTGTCAGCGGCAGCAGGAGCTTTTGCCTCCCCCAAATGGGAAAGTGCATCAAACCCCTGCCTTGAGGAAGGGCTCCCCGAGGCTGCTGCGTTCTCCCTGTGTTCTCTCTGTGCCCACTACCATGGTGTCTGGGCCGGGAGGTTTCTGGCATAACAGAGAGACTTTTCCTTAAGAGCAAAGCCTCTGCAGGTGTCCTCTTATCCCCAGAAGCACAAGAAATGAGGATTGGAAGGATCTGTTCAGCCCCTCTGAACTCCTGACAATTATTTCTCTTCCTGGGCTTTTAAATCTCCCCTGCCAAAGAGCGCTCCTGTTTCTGAGGCCACACCGCAGGTGCATTAACTCGTGACCTGCAGCCACCAGGGAAGGAGTCCCACCGTGGGATTCCTTCTACTCCTCGTACCCACTGCAGCTTGTCCCGTCCCTGTGGACAGAGGGCATGTTCCTGCATGCCTGCAGTGGTGGCCTAAAATCTGTGGCCTGCTCACCTGGTACCAAAAAAACCGCTCACTCCACTAAAAAAATACGTGATCTAGGACAGCGGTGGAGTAGGTTGTGTTGCTTCTTTGCAGCAGCTCTCTAGTGTCTTGGACTTTGTGTTTCCTCCTCCTCTCTGAGCTTTCTGCTGCTGCTCCTTAGAGGTGCTGCCTGGCAGAACTGGGGAGCCCCAGCCCCTGGCCAGCCACCTTCCACTCACACTGGGACGCCCTGGCAGAGCTCGGGTCCCCCCCATGTAGGCAGTGGGCACCCAGGACAGGCCCGCAGCAGCCCAGGCGCTCTCTGAGGGTCTGGCCTGGCTGCAGGGCTGCTGGGAGGGTGCTGCCACCAGCCGGCACTGCAGCCCAAGGGCTCCGTGAGATGCTCAGAGCGAAGCCATGCCAGGACTGAGGCAGGTTTTGCTGATGATAGTAGGAGGAGCTGCAGACTCCCTCGAGGGTAGAGAGGCTTTACAGAGAGATCTAGGCAGACTAGAGAGCTGGGCAGTCACCAACCGTACGGAATTTAACAAGAGCAAGTCCTGGATTCCCCAGCTCTGGGGCCCTGAACATAAGGAGGACATGGAGCTGTTGGAGCGAGTCCAGAGGAGGCCACGGAGATGATGGGAGGGCTGGAGCACCTCTGCTCTGGAGACAGGCTGCGGGGGGTGGGGTGGG